CACACACAATAAAGACCTACCTGCTCATAGACACCCACACACACACAATAAAGACCTACCTGCTCATAGACACCCACACACACACAATAAAGAACTACCTGCTCATAGACACACACACACACACACAATAAAGACTTACCTGCTCATAGACACACACACACACACACACACACAATAAAATAGACACACACACACACACACACACACACACACACACAATAAAGACCTATCTGCTCATAGACACCCACCCACACACAATAAAGACCTACCTGCTCATAGACACCCACCCACACACACAATAAAGACCTACCTGCTCATAGACACCCACACACACACAATAAAGACCTACCTGCTCATAGACACCCACACACACACAATAAAGAACTACCTGCTCATAGACACACACACACACACACAATAAAGACTTACCTGCTCATAGACACACACACACACACACACACACAATAAAATAGACACACACACACACACACACACACAATAAAGACCTACCTGCTCATAGACACCCACACACACACACACACAATAAAGACCTACCTGCTCATAGACACCCACACAGACAAACAATAAAGACGTACCTGCTGAGAGAGGAGCCCAGACTTGCGTCGTCCGACATGTTGCCGCTCGCTTTCTTCTTCGCCGCCGACTTCTTCCCACCTGCTGAGTGGTGGAGGTTTGGTCAACAGTTTTACAGCACTTGCAACACTCATAGGTCAGTTGTAGTTTTGGTCAACAGTTTTACAGCACTTGCAACACTCATAGGTCAGTTGTAGTTTTGGTCAACAGTTTTACAGCACTTGCAACACAATAAGGTCATATAAGTGCCGAAGATTCGAGGTGTTACAAGAGAGTAACAAATACACAAAAGAAAGAGGGGAGATAAAGACGATAGATGTTTGATAGGAAAGAAGGAGCAAACCACACCAGAGCACCCGCCAACCACCCACGTGTCAGAACTACACAGGACTCGCATACACACACACAGACAGACAGACATTCTCTCTCACACACACAGACAGACAGACAGACGCACTCACACACATACACACAGACAGACAGACGCACTCACACACACACACACAGTCAGACAGACGCACTCACACACACACACACACAGACAGACAGACAGACGCACTCACACACACACACACAGACAGACAGACAGACAGACGCACTCACACACATACACACAGACAGACGCACTCACACACACACACACATACACAAAAACAAGAGGGAAAAAAAACCCAAAAGTGAGAGATTCGAACCTGCAGCCTTGGGAGGTCGCTTCCGCCCCACGGCCTTGGTCTGCCTCCTCTTGGCGGGTTTGGGCGCCACTTCTTCCTCTTCCTCCTCCTCCTCCCCGTCCTCTTTACCTTCCTCCTCTTCTTCCTCCATTTCACTTTTCTTTCTCTTCCGACCGCCTGTCTTCTTCGTGGACTTCCCCAGACCAGAGTCCATCTCAAAGTCCTGAAACATTCAACCGGGAAATTTGGCAAAATCTCATTCAGACATCTGGCAAAATCTCATTCAGACATCTGGCAAAATCTCATTCAGACATTGGCAAAATCTCATTCAGACATTTGGCAAAATCTCATTCAGACATTTGGAAAAATCTCATTCAGACATTTGGAAAAATCTCATTCAGACATTGGCAAAATCCCATTCAGACATTTGGAAAAATCTCATTCAGACATTGGAAAAATCTCATTCAGACATTTGGACAAATCTCATTCAGACATTTGGACAAATCTCATTCAGACATTTGGAAAAATCTCATTCAGACATTGGAAAAATCTCATTCAGACATTTGGACAAATCTCATTCAGACATTTGGACAAATCTCATTCAGACATTTGGAAAAATCTCATTCAGACATTGGAAAAATCTCA